GTATTATATGAAGGTAAAGTAGTAATTTGAAGACCTAACCCAACTTGTGTATTGTTTTAAAGTCTTCCAAACCTTCTTTTAACCTATTTTAAATACTGTATTTTTAATCTTTGTAAGTATCCTTTAATGATGAACTGTGATGCATGAATTCCTGTCCTGTAAGGGTCTGTGCTACTGCATGAGGCAATGCAGCATGAAGCTAAAGGTGTCTTAGGTACAATAGAAACTGAGAACTGCTTGCCCCAAGGACTTGACAAAGCATTTCTGTCCACCCGGATTGTTGTTCTGCCTAAGCCATTCCTTTTTCTCGTTTTTTTTAAAAGATATGAGGGAATGTAAGCCCTTCAACAGTCACACATTCCAGGGCTTGTTATGTGGTACTCAAGGGTCCCAAAGACCTCCCCTGACAGTTCATGTCTCATATCACCATCTTTTCAAGTTGAAAATGTCTTTTTAATATGCACTCATGTGGTCTCATTCTCAGCCTGGATTTACTTGTCTTGAGTTATCACTGCTTGAATACTCCAGTCAGTAGAATAATGTTGTAAGTAAGGGCACTCGGTATTTGGAGACCACTTTCATATTTTCATAATTAATTTAAAATATGAGCACTGCCATCCATCCCACGTTTGGTTCTCTTAAAATGGACTTTGCTGCTGCTTGCCATGTCATTTATTTATCCAAAGATTTCCGTTTTAGTAACACTAATATGACTCCAGAATACTCCCTTTAAGGTCATATTTCATAGTGGCTGGCCAAAGCAGACTTGTATGCTCAAGGAAATTAAATAGCATTCAAATCAGTGGAGATGTAAATGCCTACATTAACATGCTGAATAATGTCTGGTTTTTGTCTAGTCTTCATTTACAACTTAGCCTTCATTTAAAAATCAGTAGTATGTCACTAGCAATGTGGTAGCGGCCAGGTTGGTAAGGAACAGAATGAGTATATACTGATAGGAATTATTAGAAGAGGAGACTTCTGGGGAGGCTGCTGGGCTATTTATTGGATAAATTATATTGCCAGAAAACAAAAATTGAAGACTGGGAATTTCATGTTCTTTGTGTGTGTTTGCTGCATCTCATTAGTAGGCTGAGTCCCCAGCCAGTGTTGTCTCTTGGAAGCATTTCCATTAGGGTTATCATGTTGAAATGACTTATGGAAGCCAAGGATTTCCTCGTTTATTTTTACCAATGAAACAACAAACTAAAGGAGGCTGCAAATAGCAGGAACTTGCCAGGCTCCTTATGGTGTGGTTCAGCTCTTTGGAGCTCACCATGGCATTTGTCCTCATCAGAACTACCTCGTTAGTAAATTTAAAAAAAAAAACAAACAAACCAAAAAAACCCCAAACAAAAACCCATAGTTTAAAGTCTCTATTCTAATGCATCTGTTTGATGCTTGCTGCTGCAGATACCTGTAATTGTGACTGCCCAGCAGTACTGCTTAGAATAGTAAATCTTCTACTTAATAAGGTGATACTTCTCTCCTATACCCACAAGATTTTCATGTGAACTAGTCCTGGGCTGCAGAAATCACTTCTACAGTAGATGAGGAGGACATAGAGCCTTGCTGTTTGTATTCAGAGTAAAATGCAAAGCTTACTTCCATGACTCAGCTTTCTCTCAGCAGAATCATCTCCTCCGTAGTGAGTCCAGAAGTTAAAAGCAAATGCTGAATATTCAAAGATGCTAATTTTCACCTTAAAGGAAGCATTTTGAGACTTCATACTTTGTAACAACTCAGGTAGAAGGTTCTGGTCTGAATTTTCAGATGGTGGCATGAAAATGCAAAATAGGAGATCAAATGCAGGTTGTAGGAGATTAAATGCAGATTGTCCTAAAGTAATAAAGTTCTAGATGAAGAAAAAAATGAGGCAGATTTTATTGCTTCAGACCATGGAAAAAGACCATACAAATTATTTTATAGGTAAAACTTATCCCAGGAGTACCTTTATGAAACATAGGGTTCACTGAAACAATACTAACAAGCTTGAACTCTTGCAAAGAGTTTCTAGACTCTTTGATTATTTTTTTTTCTTTAAGCTTTTTTCTTATAACCGGATTATTTTTTTTTTATTGCTGTTTGAGTTATCGTGACTTCTTTCTTTTGTAAAATACTGTATTCTTTTGTCATGAAAGTAAGACTCCATAAGTACTGTCCTCTTCTGAAATGCTGCTTCCAGCAGCTTACAGAATGTTGGTACATTCTGACTTACACCTTTGGTCTGGTGTTACTGTTGGAAGTGACAGCAAAGGAGGACCATTTTCCCTGCAGGTGTGATAGAGGTCACTGGAGTGGTCTCAGTAGGTTCCACAGTGTGCTGTGGGTGATGCCCCTCGAAGCTGTCAGTACCACTGCCAAGGTGGGTACATGATGAGTTATTGTAGCATGTGCTGTAAGATGGCATTAGGATATCCAGCAAGTGCTGTTGCTCAGAGTAAAATGCTGCTGTTCCTCAAGGAAAGCAGCTGTACCTTGTCAAGGCTTTGAAACTTTTTTGGTATTATTAAATGCATGTTTTCTTTGTGGGTTTTGTGTTATGCTTTCTGTGTTCTTTGGAACTCTTGCCATGCAAACCAGTCCTTAAATAAGTGAAAACCACATAAGCATCAAGCTGATACAAGACAGCATGCATGTAAAACTTGTGCCTTATTGTGTTCCATTCCCCTTCCTTACTGTCTGCAGTGTGCCAAGTCTGGCTGTGTCCTGCTGCGTCCTGGGGAATTCCTCGTTCCTCAGAGTCAAACCTCACATCTGCCTTGACATTGCCAGCGGCTCCTCCTTACAGCTGCACTCCGCAGCCCCAGGAGGCACCTGCAATTAGGAGCTAAGGATACAATGACAGGGGTTTGCTTGAAGAAAATAGAGGGTTTTGGGCAATCTCCAGGTTTTCTTCTCCATGGAATGGCATTAGGAACTGTGTCCATTCTGCAAATGTTTCTTGGGTTGCAACCCTTCTGTAATACGCAGTTCAACCAGCTCTGTCTGATGAGCCCTCCCTTGCTATGAGCTTGGGTCAGTGTCAGTTCTCATTTTTTTCTTTATCTAGACCAGCCAGGTCTGTGGTTATTGAGGAGGAGGAGTGGGAGTATGTTGAGCTTTTCTAGACAATGCAGCAAGTGTTAATTTTAGCCACTAAAATGATGTGTTTCTTGGCACTCAGGCAGCTGAACTGGAAATGCAAAATGAGGAAAACCCTTCATGTGTGTAATGAAAAATCATCTGTCTGGAAACCTCTCTCTGTTTTTACTCATTCAGGATGGAGCTCCTTCTTTGTCACCTGACTTCTTACTTACTTCTTAAGTATCTCTTTTGCTATCTCAAGTGATACTCTTTAAGTTAATGTGACAAGGATCAGACATCTCAGTACTTGAAAATGTTCTTTGACACCTTCTAAAGGTTCTTTAGTATTTTTGTTAGGTCTTTATACATTCTTTAACTTTTTTTCACATGCCTCTGGTTACTGAAAGCTGGGATTATGTTCTTTTTTTGTCTAACACTGATTAGTGAGGCTGTATTCCTGGATGCAAGGCAGGTGTCCTGCCTAAAAGCTACGAGCAGGTCTTTGTGCAGCTGCAGGCAGGGTTCAAGGCTGGGTATGAGTCCTCCCAGAACAGAAAGGGGTTATATATCTGTGAGTAGCAGGTGGAGAGAGTAGAATCTATCTGTTCAGACAGCAGGATTATCTGGTGAGATGCAGGTGTAAAGGGAATCTTAACTATGAATGAGACAGCTCACGTACGCTTGCTCTTCGTGCTTAATTTTGCAGTTTTGATGACTAGGATGATTTGGAATTTCTTTTTCCCCTTATCTCATTTTTCTCCTCATTTATTTTTGCTTTATGCTCATTGTGTGGCACTAGGAAGATCAGTCTTTGGAATTTAATTAAATTTGTGAGCCTTACATAGGTGCTAAGTACTTCATATTTTTCAGCTTTTTTGAAAACCTGGAGTGAAAGACCAACTTGTTTACAATGTAGAATTAAAAACAAACAAACAAACAAGAATGGAAGGATTAAGCTCTTGGGAAATGACCATGTTAATGCCACACACATAGCTTATCCTAGTCCATTTGCAAATGGGCATGGATGGGCACTGAAGTTACAATGGCGTGTTCTAGATCTTCACACCATGAATATTTTTCAAAATCTTCCTTTATGACTTAATGATAATTATTTTATACTTGTCACCCTGTCCAGTTTTTTTACTAGGGACATTTTGACAGCACTTGTACTGCTGCCTTGAAAAATGACTGCTTTCCTTAATTAGAAGTTAGAGCATAGGTATATCCTTAGGTGATCTGCCTCTTAAGTTAGCCTTTGATTTATTACTCTCTCTTCTCAAATTTAAGAGCTGGATTATTTTATGACTTCTTTAATGCAAAGGACTGTGATATGCTTCTAACAATTTGAACAGCTACGCAATCCAGTAAAATGCTATTTGTTTTCTTCTAATGTTGCAGGAAAAAAGTTGTGTTTTAAAAATACTTCTGTAACAGATATAATATACAGTATATCAGTATGCGTGCATACAACAGTTAAATGTGCACGTTTTGTTTAGAACTTCTTGGTTCTTCAAAAAGTAATAAGAGATAGAGTTTGTTTAATCATGTTCCCCAGCCTGTTGGTGTGGGAGGAGGAAGGTTACAGATTTTCAGTATTTGGGTTGTCAGCAGTTGTCTACTTGGAGTTAACTTTTCTCTTCAGATAAAAGGAATTTCTGAAACACAGGAAATTCTTTGCTGTCATATCTTGCATTTTTATTGCCTCTTTTACTTGATCCTCTGGGGTGAGGAGCCTGGGAGATTTAAAGACCCTCAAATGCTCGTGGCAGCTAGTGGGAGCAGGGAGAAATCACTCTTAATATTGCAAAGTTTTGAGCTGTTGGTCCCCAAACTACTGCCTGGTAATGATTTCTTTGCTCCCCATTAATTTAAGTGGGATGATACTTCACAAATGCAATGCCCCATTTAAATCCCTGGTTTTCTTTTTTTCTTAGATTATACCTCTGGTGAAGCTCTGTGGAAGATAGATGTGTGTGCTGCAATGGTGACATAAAGATTTCACAGGACTGGAACAAGTTGTTGAGAATCTGTGTTTGTTTTTCATGCTGCTGTCGAGAACTATCTAAGGCAAGTAAACACCATGAGTTTTATCCTGAAGCTTCACAGACATTTTCAAAGAACAGTTATTTTGCTGGCCACTTTTTGTATGGTGAGCATAGTTATTTCTGCCTACTACTTGTATAATGGCTACAAACAGGAAAATGAACTTCCTGAAATCTCTTCAGAAGTGGAATGTGGTGATCCTCAACTGTTGCCATACAAGCTGATGGAGATGAAGACCATGAAGCCTCTTGATCCCTTGAGGACAGACCTTGTAGTGCTGGTGTTTGTGGAAAGCCAGTACTCCACGTTAGGCCAAGATATAATAACCATCTTGGAATCCAGCAGATTTCAGTTCCACATTGAGATTGCTCCTGGGAAAGGTGACCTCCCGGTGCTTATAGACAAAAACAGAGGCAAATACGCTCTCATAGTCTATGAAAATATTCTGAAGTATGTGAATATGGACTCTTGGAACAGAGGCCTTCTAGATAAGTACTGTATAGAATATGGTGTAGGTGTTATTGGATTTCACAAAGGCAGTGAGAACAGCCTGCAGAGCTTTCAGTTGAAGGGTTTTCCTTTCCATGTCCACAGCAATCTGGGTATTAAGGACTGTTGCATTAACCCTCATTCCCCACTGCTCCATGTGACTAAATCTTCTAAGCTGGAGAAAGGGCCCTTGCTTGGAAATGACTGGGCTGTTTTCCAGATTAATCACACAGCTTATCAACCAGTGATATTTGCAAAAGTAAGGACACCAGAAAACCTTTCTCCACCTGCTGCTCTCAGTGCTCTCTATGCCACGGTAATTCACGACCTGGGGCTCCACGATGGGATACAACGAGTCCTTTTCGGCAATAACTTGAATTTTTGGCTGCACAAGCTGATTTTCATAGATGCCATCTCTTTCCTAACTGGAAAGAAGCTCAGACTGTCCTTGGATAGGTACATTCTGGTTGACATAGATGACATCTTCGTTGGGAAGGAGGGAACGAGGATGAACACCAACGATGTACAGGTAAAGTATGTGCACAAACTAATGGTCATTACAGCAAAGTGATGGGTTTTTTCTCTCACAAGTCCTTGCTGTGTTCTATAAACGGGGTGGGCACCTCAGAATTCTGTTCCCTTTGCTACATATGGAGAATAGTCTCCCAAAATGAAGGTCAACTAGTTGCTAAGTAACAGATAAAGAAAAGGGGGCAGAGCAGTAGTGTTTTCACACACACCACAACCCACCCAACACACCATTCTAAACAGAATTGCAGAGTGTCTAACTCTACTTTGCTGATCCTTCTCTCTAAGCACACACTTCAGTGGTGTTTGGAAACAGCACAGGACTTCAGGGCTCGACTCAGGAGCTGTTCATGTGTGATGGGCATGCAGCTAGTCTTACAAGCAGGAGGTAAATGTGGTGAGCAATAGTAAATGTCAGCATAAATTTTGAAGAATAGGCTGGGTTATTAGCTGTTTGAAATAGGTTTGGATGTCAGGAGTTGCTTGCAGCATTTCACCTCTCTTATCTCTGTTTATGGCTCTTGCAAGGAAGGGTTGTATTAATATTGGTCTTAAAAGCTCATTCTGTTGCTGAATGACTTGATGATTTCCATTTTAACATTTGAAGTGTTGCATTCCTGAAGGTCATTTTCCACTCCCTTGTGCTTTGCTGTGGGTCAGTAGCAGTAACACCTTAACATTATTTCTTCCTTTGTACCTGGCTTGTGTTTTGTGAAGTGTTGTTACAGAGCAGATAATTAGAAGTCACCTTGTACAACTCTACTTGGTCTAGAAGTTAAAAATCTGTAACATGCTGATTGTTACCCCATTTGTGCTAAAAATAAAGGAGAATGTTTTGTTAAAACTTTCTTAATGGAAAGAGAAACTGGGAAAAGGAAAGACAAGGACAACACTGTGTGCAGTTGTTTGTTTCATTTTAAACCAAGTTCTTGGGTTTTTTCAGCATTAATTTGTTAAGCTGCAATAACTCTGCATATAGGTCTTCCTTAAACAAAAGGTTTGAACCTGCAGTTAAACTTGAATTCACTTCAAAATTGCAGCATACACTCTTTTCCCAAACATTCTCTTCACATGCAATTATAATTGAACTATAACCTTCTCGTTAAGTCGGTGTTTTCCATATGCAAATAAATCACACGGGAGAGAGTTGAAATAAAGGGGAGAGATAATAAATGGAGTTTCTGTGGAGGACACGATGGCAGTGTTTGAGCTAGGTAAGTGATTGGAGAATCTCCTAAATGCAAACTCAGATCACAGGAAAGAAATAAGGTCTGACCCACATCACTGCAGAACTCCTGTTTTTCTGCAGAAGCAGCTGTTTCTGGTAAGAAAATATGTAAAATAAAACCTGAATAAACCTCTCGCTGTGTTGTGCAATAGCACTTTGAGACAGTATGGTTTTTATTGTTTCTCTTTGAAAGTGACACCTTTGGATTGTTTTAGGATAAGTTAGGATGTTTAATTGCCAGAATTACTTACCAAAAGCAGGAGGCTGTTGAGACAGATTTGATTAAAGCAGATACAGAAGGATAAACTGTATTGTTTTGGGAGAATAATTTGCAATATGTCAGAATGTAATCTTCCCAAAATAAAACTGTCAAATTAAATAGAAATAATATCAAAGTGGAAATAACTTTTAAGTAGGATAATTTCATTTATACAGAACTGTGTTCTGAAACAGTGGAATCTGAAAAAAAAAAAGTGTTCCCTTCTGATTCTTCATCTACTTATAGTTAAAATGTTCTATTAAACATGTTGTTAGGGCTGTCAGATGCGATGCATCTTCATTACTATTAATATCAAGGGAGTTATCCTCTGTGGCACAATGACATGTGGAAGGAACGAAACAAAATCCATTTGCAGTAGTTGAAAATCTGTTATTGTAAAGTATATTTGCAGATAAATGACATCCCATTAAACAGGAGTGTTTTACTGAGCTCTGCTGCTGTGACTGTGATGGAGAATTGGGCCCTGCAAGTGTGAAAGTGGGTTGCTAAATGTAGACTTTGTATAATTGCAGTACTCCAGGTAGCTCCTTTCTGCTAAGGTTACATTTTAAATACTAGCAAAGCAGAATTGAGTAGGATACTCTTTTGTGCTTTAATTGTGTTTGGCGTGTTTCCTCTTTAATATTTTCTGGCTGTATGTGGTAGGACCATGGGCTTGCTGAGAGTAATGGGAATGTTAACATAAATTGATGTCAAACTCTTCAGGAAGCTCCCACCACCCAGAGGGACCTCTAGGATTGGTTCTGACTGTTCTCTGGACAGGGCAGAGTTCAGGAACTGGAGGGTTAATGCACAACTGAGAGCCAAAACAAGGTGGTCAGCTGGTCCAACCCTCCTGCTCAGGCTGGGTCCTGTCCTGGTGCTTTTTGACTGTGACCAAGGAGGGAGGTCCCAATACCTGTAAGATAAGGTTTGCAGGGGAATTTCTTCTTGACATACCTAAATGAGATGTTCAAAGAGGCCAGAAGTGTTAATATTTGGCACAAAATTAAACTGCCCTATCCTTTAAAGTGTGTCAATTGGAGTTGAGCACTTACAAAAATTGCTGTCATAAGGTTAAGGGGTGATTTTTTTACCACTATTATATATTGACCTCAAAAGAGGTCAGGTCAAAAGCAGACCCTCTAATAGGGGTGTCTTCTGCACCTCTAAAGAGGAGGCAAAGTGGTGATACTTCAGCTTGAGTACCTATAGTGTCAGGAACACAAGCATAAAGAGCCTTTCTGAAAATCTTTTAGAAACATAGTTTATCAACCTAAATCCTGTAAAACTAATAAATGGTGTGTCTTGTTAAACAACAGGTAAAGTTTATTCTAATTTCACAACAGCTTCTTCAATTAAAAAAAAAAAAAAACAAGAAAAAAGACCCCAAAAACTTGAAATAGTGCTGCAGATTTTAGACTACTTTACTCTTACAGATTTGCCTGTCTCTGTAAAATCTGGACTGATAAAACATAGTTCTTCAATGTAACATACTGAGTGGCTGTCACTGCGTCAACATAACCATCCATCTTCATAGTTATTTACTTTATCTTCCTCTAGTATAATAGAAATAATGGAAGAGAACAATTCCATGGTCTAATTGCCTCCTACTTTGAAAATAAGCTCAGTAATATCATCTCAACATTCATTTTTCAGTAACTTTTTTCTCTCCTGTTGTCTGTCAGGCAGGAGGGACCATTATGCTGTGACAATGTTATATTTTATTTTCCTTGTGTCTTTTAGAAAGACTAAGAGCCCATGCAGTGCAAGTAATTCATTTAAATGGACATACAGAGAATAATCTGTCTAGATATCCACAGAGTAAGTTTATCTTAATAGACCACAGTTGTCCTGGCTGACAGTCTACTAATTTAATATCTCTTTTTGTTACAGTTACTCTTTGTAAAATTTTTATGACTATAAAGCATTGAGATTTTTTCAAGGGAAAAGCAACTGATAAAAGGGGGGAAATTAAATGTGATTTCTTTTTCCTGTTGACAGTTTGTGCCGTGCTGGTGGTTTGGGCAGTTTGGTTTGGTCTACCTTTTCCTTAATTTCCCCGACACAGGCACGTTCTCTGGTTCTTTAAGAGTTAATCACATTTTCCAAATGAAAAATTAGAACACTGTGAAATTATTTTCCCCTAATAATTAGCTGTGTGATCTTTCCTTGACTGCCTTGTCCTTTGTGTGCTTTTCAAAAGAGACCCTTTGAATTGAAGTCAGGAGGGGGATCTCCTCTCTTTGTTCATGTAAGCCTAATCTTTTCCTACACCTGTAATTATTCTTTTATGATTGGCAAGGAAAAAGCTTCATATTGACCATATCCATTATTGGAGGGGGAAGATAGGTCTTTTCTTGTCATTCTATTTTGGGAGTGCTCAGGCAATGCTGAAATGGGCAATACAAGCTTCACTCTGCAGCCTTTGAGCATTAGTCATGGAAGAACTGGACAAGAGCTCCACTCTTGGTGTATCATCTGTGCCAGACATCCTTCTGATAATGGAGAGCATTCAGCCCAAAGGAATAAATTCATAACATTTTAGTCTCCATCCCTTGCACAGGCTCTCCTCTTGGCCGGATTTTGAGGTTTATAATGCAGAAATCCATAGCAGAGTGAGTCCTCTAACTTTCCGTGGTGGACAGAGACAACAGAGAAAAATAGCTCATCTTCAGGCAGGCACTGCTTAAGTGAATTACACTTTAAGAGTATGTCATTGTTTGTTGTTCAGAAATTGCTTCTGGAGTGACTAAGATCAAATATAAACATTTGCATTTGGTCAGGTCAGTCTTCTTGTTCCAAAGCCAGTGCTGTCACTTCTTTGTTATTTCCTTAGTGCATTGGTGGCCTAAGCTTTTGTTTAATATAATTCTGCTTAAAAACAGATTTCCCCCTTAAGAGCTAATTGTTTATTCCCTGTATGAAATTCATCCACGTTAGTCGGCACAGCTTAAATTATTACAGTTGTTTAAAACCCATTAAGTGTCTTTTCACCCTGTGCAGCATATGTGGAAAGAAACCAGAACTTCCCATGGCAAAGCATTCCATTTGGCCATAAATTTTAAGAAGACAACCATGTGTCTTTTCAGTCACTGCTGCATAGGAATGATGTAAATATTTGCCTCAGAAGAGAAGCTCGGATATATTTTGTGTTGAGGCAGAACTTCTAAAAGGTGCAGAAAGCTGAGCTGTCAAGACAAGCGATGGTTCCTGTCACAGAAGGAAGTCTGATTCTCTCAGTTAATTGCTTCTTTATCTCCAGGATCACGGAGAAGGTTATCAGGAAAGAAATGACAGATGTGTCATCAAATGTGTCAGGTGCACAACCACCAGAGGTACTGAGGGCTGTTTGGTTGCACTGAGCTGTAAATCTTTCCTTTGGGGAGATTCAAAGAAACCTTTTGAATCAGCTCTTTAAATTACATAACAAAGTAATTATTGAGAGCTCTTGCTCTGCTAAATCATTTTACGTTCCCAGTCCATTAGCCATAGTACCTTTATGCCAGTGTTC